ATGGAAAAACCCTCTTCATTGTTACCCTGCTGTTTAGACATATCTTTTAGTCTGTAAGGAGATTTGAGAGGAATGTACAATGAGATTTTGTTGTTGTGCTGCTTACTTAAATTTGATCATGTTCAGCACATGTGCCTTCTTAGTTTGGTCTCGGTCCTATTGAACTCACAGGATTCTTTCAATCAACTTCTGTAGGAGTTGGAGAAAGCTGATGGTAATGAATGGTTTTACAAAGAGCTATGCTGTTTTTGTTTGTCCTTATAAATATTTTATGGCATGATGGCTCTGTTAAAAATGCTGTGGTTTTGTATAGTACATCTAAATAAGAATGAGCCTACACAAGATATTTTTTTGCTGTGCATCAAAAGAGAAGAGAGAGTTAAAATGAATAATGAGACACAGCGTGTTTCTAGTGCTGGGTAACCTGTGTTGTTATAAGATTTAGTAGAAATGTATATTAGAAAAAAAAAAATCACTTCCACAGTATTTAGACTGAACGCTAACATGGAATGTTAAGCTCTTACTTGCATGTGATATGCAGGCTGGCAATGGAGAGAGCTGTGAGTAGTAAAGATTAAATGACATCCCAAGACTCAGATTCCTTTTTTAACTTTGAACTTTCTCAACATGATGAAGTAGCCTTTTCCATTGTAAAAACTGAGTAAGGCTTCTTGTGTTTTTTTCTGTAGATTTAAAAAAATTTTTTCTGTCACTCTGTTGATTTTGTGGTGGGTTGTTTTTTTTTTTGTTTTTTTTTTTTTTTTTTAAAATTAAGTCCCAGTGAATTCTTGTTCCTTGATTACTTTATGACAAATGGCTTTGCTTCAGAATTCACCTATACTGACTACAGTATAGAAGAGTGTGATTAGAAGTGAGGATGGAAGAAAAGCTCTATCCAAATCTTTTTGATTAAATAAAAATGTTCACAGAACTTAAAAAAAGAGAGAAAGGTAACTAATTTGGAAAATTTATGGCATTTTATTTAATTAAAACCTTTTTCTTTACTATGTGAGAAGTAAAGCCACCAGTTGTTACTAATTCTTGACTGAACTATCTCCCTCCATTTTAAGACTACTTCCCAAAAGTTTTAGTTGGATGAAAATGGCATACTGAGCATAAGCGTTAAATAGGTTTTTACATAATTAAGAAATGAGCAGCAGGCTGTGACTTTGAATTTTTGCAGCACAGAATGAGGATTCTCCCATTTCTGAGATTCTATTAAATTTGACAATGAGAGAATTCACGGTTGACTTGTGCTTGGTGGTCTGTCAAGTCTGAAGCCAGTGCCATTTATTGAGGTTTATAAACTCTTTACAGAAGCTGGATATTCCTTTGCACAGAAACACTGTTTGGTACTAAGATTTACTCCCTTTCCGACTTATCACCTGTGCAGTTAATGTGTATGTATGTTTAATGTTAATTCAGTAGCAACAACTTAACATAGTTCCACAGTTAAATTAGAAGGCTTTGGGACATCCAAAACAAGTACCTTTGCCAAGCATCTGATCATGTCCAGTTTGCCAAGTTAAGAAAAAACATTTTTAACATGGGCAAATAAAGGGGGGGGAAAGCTATTTTTCACAGTATAAAATATCTGAATGAACTACTTAAGCAGACAAATGCTGTGACAAAGTAGAGGAGAAATGGTTATTTTCGAATAGATTTCAGAATCTGTTTCTTGCTGGAATGTTTTCGCCACACAAAAAATGCTAATTATCTTTTTTTTTTTTTTTTTTAATTGCATGGAAGTCGAGGTGCTCTACACTGTATGCAAGGGCTGGGCAAATTTATCTATTAGTGATGAATTTTGCTTGCTTGTCAGCTGTTATAAACAAGTATAATTGAGCTGACAGTTGTTAAAGATTTAGTGTCAGGACATATACATTTCCAATAACTCTAGATTTTATTCTTTAAAATATGGTTCTTATGAGTTCTGTTCTTTGTCAAAAGAACTATTTTTTTCTCTCTTCTTTCTTTGCATTCCTTTTCTTTTGACCTTTTCTCTGTTCCCTGTAGAAAAAAAAAGCCTTGAAGACAAAGTTATGGGACACTTATATAGCTTCCAAGACACTGAATGAGCTAAAAAGCAAACAAGATGAAAACTGTTTATGTATCAGTAGAAATGGGCAAAATTAGTCTTTAGAATTAGAAAGGCTTCATCATGAACCTGAAGCCTTGATGCTTCTCAGTGTCTGGAGGATGAAAGATGATGGTTCACCACCCTTTAACAGGCACAGATCCAGAGAGTAGCATTGCTTTGAGTCCTTAACTCCGTCCTCCTCTGCAACTACAGCTGTATCATTCTGTCAACAGTTTTGACCTACAAACCCAATATAACTTGCACCCACATACTTGTCACCTAACCAGCAAATGCAAAACTGACACGCTTACCAGTTCTGGCAAGTGGGAGTTGTGCAAGCAGTTGCTCTGATGCCTGCTGGTTGGCTGACCAGTCTGATCAGGGTTATCAGGTTAGTCGGTGATGAGCCAGCCCCAGCACACAGGCTGGTTCTGCTATGTGGGAGGAGGTGGGCTGCACTGACGGGTCACTTGCTGTTGTTCTGAGACACAAACCACAGTGGGATGGCTCTCAGCTAGATAGGATGTGGCAGCCATGGCTATCACCAGCAAAACTCTGTGCTGTATTTTACATGTAATGTCTCCTTCCAACTTTTCATCTGCCTGGAATTAACATAGACACATCTAAATCATTCTGTGCATTTTTAAAAAATATGCTTGTATTTTAATGTGAATGTTTCAAAAACATGCAGTCTCTAGTGGCATGTTTCTCTGTGTGACACTTGTTTATGACAAATATTTGGTAGGTTTGGAAAAAATGAAGTATTTGTATCCTTTTAACAGAATGGTATTGCTTTCTAAATTGCTGATGTTTTTATACTTTTTTTTTTAAAAAAAAAGACCACAAAATATGCTTAAATTTGTACCAGTAAAAATTCTTTGCTTCTTCCCAATCTCAAAATGTGGCAAAAGTATATTTGGATGGCTGCAGAGAAAAGAGGAAGATGGGATATGGGATAAAACTAAACTTTACTTCTGATTCACAGTAGCTCTTCTGTTAGTTAATCCGGATTATATATGTATTTATGTTGCCTGGAGCCCTTGTTAATATTAATGATCTAAATCTATTTATCAGTGGAAGAATAGACTCTGTTTTAAAGCATTAAACTATTTAGATGTATAAATGTGCATTACATGATTTGTAGAGGCAGCATCATGTCAAAATGACAGGGTGGATGATGGATGGATGATTTTTCTGGAGCCTGTAATATGCTACCAATTAATTATTTCTAAGAATGACTCTCAGTAACCTGAAGGTGTTACTGTGTGATGGAGAGTCACTGTTTTGTATCCGTATTTGTGGTCTTCACTCAGCCTGTAGGTCGTGTGCCTTTGTGGGTCCAGCAGAACAACTGGAAAGTTGCCCTTGGTGATAAAAAAAATACCTGTTTTCACAAGTAATCTGGCTCTGGACCAGATTGAACATTTGAGGAAGCCGAAGGTGTCACTAGTATGACTGCATCATAGCTGCTTGCAAATACATCATCTCTCCAAAGGAAACTTCACTGATTTGTTTTAAATGTTGTTGTTGGTCTTTAAAACAATGGAGATTTGAGCTCTTAAATAGAAGTAAGGAAAATGACTGGTTGGAGCATTGTGATTATTTTGAATACGCTTGGGGGGAAGGATCTGAAGAGATACTGACTTTTCTTGGGGAGTGGATTTCCTTCCTGTCTTCCCCTGATGCTTTCCTCTCCTCTTCCTTCTAACCATAGAATTTGAGCTAGTATGAAGGATCTAATTTTTTTCAGCACTTAAAAATCAGTGAGAAGACTTAACAACTGCCAGTTGTGGTCCCATCTGTATCTATTTGGACTGCAGGTCAACTGTATGATCTAATTAAAGCAAACAAACAAACCAACCCCCAAACAAACAAACAAGCAAAAAGGCTTTTTCCTCTAAAGTTCTCTAGTGAAGGTGTCCAGACATGAGGGAGCTGTCCCTTCCTTTCTACAGGTAGTTTTGTTTCTTAATAGCACTGGACTGTGTCCTGCAAATGTTGTTCTATAAACAGAAAAGTTAATGATCCTCTCAAGCCTTTCTCTTCCAACATAAAGGACATTCATTTCCACCCCTGTCTGTGCTCCCCTTACCTAAGGAAAGTTCTTTTATTTTTTTTTTTTGTATTGAGAGATTTGTCTCTGTAAGAGTCTGAGGCCAATATTCAGACACAGTGACTCAATTCCACTACATCATCTTCAAGTCCTTTAAAAAGTCAACCCTTTAGGTGAAATAAATCTTGCATTACAGAGTTCACAATTACATTTTTATTCCTGGTATGATATACACTGTTCTATTAATTAATATTATTATCTGTTTCATCACTCCTCAAAATTCAGCAGGATTGCAACATCAATCCACTGGGCTAGCATCAGTGTCGGACACTACTTCATCTTGTCCCAGCCATTAATGCATGTTTTGATCGGGCGCTTTCTGAGTTTGAGATACCTCCAACTATTTGGACACTGAAAGCTGCTGTACAGGGGGTCTCCAAATGTTTATGACTGCTCAGTTGCACAATATTATTTAACTCTATTTCTGTTTGAAAGTGGTTTTTAAAAGTTGAGAAGTGTAATGTGGTGTAAGTTGAAGTCTGGTACCTATATCACATGACAATTTCCTCTCTTCTTCCCATCCTGCCCTGCATTCTTTGTTTTTTTTAAAAAAATGGAGGCCAAATCTGAGTGGCTGATCACCTTGAGCTGTAACCTTGTAACCAATAGAATAACATGTATCACAAGTTGGTATAGAACCTTAATCAACCCTATAGGTCTACTTGCCAGGGAGCTGCTGTGAGAGAGGGAAGCATAAGTCATCTCCCCCAACAAGGGGTGCTATTCCGTGTTTCAGAGTGGCTCCTGCAGCTGCTGGTAGAACATGGGGTTCAGAATCAAACACTAAATATGTGACAACAAAAATACCTGCAAATGATAGGAGCGCACTTGAAATCCCTCCAGTGCTGTACACCATCACCAGGCAGACTGCCAAACCCACAGCTTTTTAACTAAACAAACAAACAAAAGAAGCCCTTAGGCCATGGAACAAGAAAGTTTGTGCTTCTAACAAAGAAAATGCAAAAACTGTTTTTGGAAAGGTAGGGTTTGTGTAACCAACCGAATTAAAACATTGTAGTACCTGAGGGCATGGGAATCCCTATGGGTTGTTTGCTTTAAGTCTTATTTACATGAGGATCTGTAAAACTATTCTTGACCTACATAAAGCATCAACCATAATAAGCCTTTATTTTAGGAGGAAGATGTAATAGGAGATTGTCTGCTTTGAAAACATTTCTAATATGGTGAGGGAAACATCAAACAAGATTACATCAAAAGGTGAAATAGAGCCCCCCTAAGGGAAGGAAGAACTGCATGTAATTCTATATAACTTTCACATTAGAAATAGTGCAATATTGCAGCTTTGCATAGAAGGGGTGAAAACCTTATTTATTTTTTTAAATTGAATTATTCTTGCATTTCAGATATAGCAGTATGGCGTGTTGCTCACCTTGGGTTCAGATTTAGTTGAGTCCCACAGAGTTGTTTTCCTCATGTGTTCATGGTTGCTAAAAATTCTGAGCCAGCTGTGCCAGTAGAACATACACTGTTGAGGAAAGATGGGCTCCCAAATCTGAAGTGATCTGTTTTCATTGTCCTTCATTTTATATTTGGTTTGGCTGCTGACCTTTTAGAATCTTGACACTCGACTGATTACTCACAGGATGTGTTTGGGAACTATATAAAAAAGGTAATGATGGTAGGTAAAGCTAAGCTTTTTCTCTCTGTGTGTTTTGGGAAGGGGTGAGGTTTGTAATTATTTTTTTTTCTCCCCTGTGTGTGAGATAATGGTGCGGTGAGCCTTTGCGGGCAGCAACAGTCAGGGCTTCAAACCTCATGAGGACCCAGTGATCCCTGGTGCTGGGGAGCCCTGAGCTCCCATGGAGAGGACCTATATGAGCTCTGATACGCTGGTGAGCAGGGCAGGCAGTGAGAAAGGAAGCTGCAGGAGGTTTGCTGTGAGATGCTTCCTACTAGCTCAGGTCCTGGGGTCATGGCCTTCTTGCATGAAAGATGTCAGGTATGGCAGGGGTGAGGACTGGGGGATACGTGGTGTTGTGAAGTGGTGTATGGATAAGGTAAAGTTTCAGTTCAACAGAAGAAAAAGGAGCAAATTTCTCACAGGACAGTAACTTGAGGGGATCAGAGGGGTGTTATAGGGACTGCTTAGGTTATTGAGGTTGGATTTGCACTGTCAGGGTCCCTCTGGGCTTGATGCCAGCTGGGCGAATGTGAAGCTGAGCCCCCTGAACCAAACTGTTTTTCACGCTTCCCACGTAAAGCTCTGTCCTCCAGAGCTCACCGTGCTGTCTGGGGCTGTGAAGGACGCCTTCCAGCTACACTGGGCTACCTGCATGCAGCCTGCCTTGAGCTGGAAGAGCACAGGGATGCTGCCACTTTTTCCTCTGCTCAGCTGATTTAGGATCAAGAAACTCAATCCTCCTCTCCTCCTCCCTGCAGCAGCACAACCATTCTCCTGCATACCATGGTTCTGTTTGCTGGTCAGAGGAGCCTACCCCTTTGCTGCATGCTTGCAGCACCTTACATCACACCCAAAGCATTAATTTTCTGTTAGTCCTACATGACTGGTAGGCTTATTTCCTTAGAGCAGTAGCGTGCACAGGTCACCTCCTGATGCAAAGAGGGAAACAACAGGCGCCAGCCCAGTGAGCACCATTGGAGCTGTGCAGCTTTGCTTCTCCTTCCTTTGCTATAGCTGGAGCTCCTCATGATGTTTTGTAAAACTTCTTGAGATATACTCTTCTGTAGTTTCTATAAGACATGGCTATCTTTGTTACTGATTTTTTGATGGTTATCATAAAATGCTGATTTCCTCCCACCCTCAATTCAATGGTGCAGATCTTCACATTAAAGTCTTATTGGTTTTAAGTGACTTGTAAAATTTAGGCATGGTATTATAAATGTTAGAAAATCTTAAAGTATCCCTATATGAAAAACTGTGTTACTGCATGCTGAGATTGTACGAGGTTTGCAGTATTTGCCACTTACTTGAAACCTCATATTTTGAGTTTAGGGGTTTATACAGGAGAAATGCAGCCTTTGTCTCACTGTTACTAGATGTCTCGAGAGAATGATGTTTAACAGTTTCTAAACCCTTCTTTAAATACCTATATACATTTATCAAAATTGTCCAGTCCTAGGTTTTCCTTGGTTTTCCTTGGTTTTCCTTGGTTTTCCTTGGTTTTCCTAGGTTTTCCTAGGTTTTCCTAGGTTTTCCTAGGTTTTCCTAGGTTTTCCTAGGTTTTCCTAGGTTTTCCTAGGTTTTCCTAGGTTTTCCTAGGTTTTCCT